TAAATCCACCCAGGGGTCACGTCAATTCATGGGTCACTGTAGATTCTTCCTTGGCTTCGTTGGCTAAGATCCCGTATTTTCCTTGCTTCCGAGCACTGGGATCTTAGGCGGAGACAACTGCAGTAGAGAATCTTTGGTTACACTACACTTACTAGACTCTAGGAAACTATTGTATTTTGGTTTGCCGTTGGCGCCGTGGACTACACAGTGTGAACAAAATCTGCCAGACCACTATAATCAATTGAAACTGAAACTGTGTTCTCAATGTGTATCTAACAATTTTTAGGCTGCCTAAATTTCTTTTAAACTTTTTTTTGGGTGGTTTTTGCTTAAGGCTACATTGATTCCTTGAGGATTTATTAATGAAGAATTCAATGCACTTTTCCATTTCTATGCGGGCCATTTTCATCAATTTTATGTTTTCCTAAGAGCAACTTTGTATCTACATTTTTTAATTTGGATACTCTTTCTGTAGAACTTTCCGACCTCTAGGACTGACTTACATTTGATCACATTGTCTTGCTCAAACAAGTTCTATTCATAATATCACTTACCCACTAGTTGCGTCTGTTCGTTTGGGTTGTTTTTTGTTCAACTTCACGGACCATTTCCACCGTTCAGTGCGTACATTGTATATTCAAATGCTATGTATACTGTTTACATTTTTAGCAATAAATAGCCTATTTTGTCAAATATACTGGATAAGTTATAAAATATGATGTTTTGCATAAGCGCTGAAGTGTTTTAGCATATTAGCAGAAAGTACTCAAAATGTACTCATAAGTACTTTTTAAAAAAGTACTTGTACTCAAGTACATTTTAAAGGAAAGTACTTTTACTGTACTTAAGTACATTTTTTAGATTGTACTTAAATTTGTACTTTAGTACTTTTTAAAAAGTACTTTAACAGCTCTGTGTGTTGGTATGGAAAAAAGCCGCTGATTGGTCGCATGCAATCGGCTAAGTGAATAATGGTTCACGATGCAGGTGCAATGGATGGTTTCCGGGAATAGATAAAGTTCGTTCTGAGAGAAAAATGAGTGAAGTCACGTCTGCGGTGGCTGTTCACCCTGGAAGCGACCTTGTTGAATCCGAGCTCGCTGATTTAAGTGCTCGTTGAATCCGGGTTACTTTTATAGATTTTAAAAAAGAAAAAAACAGGGAATCTATCTCATCTCGTTGAATCCGAGCTCGTAAAATCCAAGTTCCACTGTAAAACATTTTTGCGGACCGGAGTCCGAATAGATAAAACCTATATTTGGACTCGAGTCTGAATAGAGCTGGCCTTTTCTAAAATAACCAAGCACTGAAGGGAAGTACTGGTAAAAATGGCTTAGCGCTAAGAGGGTTCATATCCAGTAACTAGGTCTATCTAAACTGGCCCTCCCTGCATCATTGATATGAACAGAACGATTAAGTTGAGCTGACTTTGCCGGGGGGGCAAATTTAATTATTGTCGACCAATGAGACTGCGCGTAGCGATCTCGCACTCTCAGCTTGCTGACGGGGAGGTGTTGGGAAGAGGCCACAGCTGTCATTTTTGTGCCATGTGATAAAAGAAAAGAAAATTACAGAAAAACTATAACACACAACAAAATGAAATTAAACATATGGAATATGGAAAGACAAATGGAGGTGGAAGTAATGGTGATGCTGAAGTGGTGGTGGAAAGACCATGAGTTGCCGGTTACCATGTACTTAAACATTGCCATTGGGTAGATCTAAGTCTAATGAGAGTGCAGTCTTTTGACTTTTGACACAATTACACAATCCTAGACTTAGATAAAGATCTAGATATCTAGTAGGCAATTCTAGTTCTAATTCTGGTGTTACGCAAAATCCCCCGACAACGGTTATAATATTAATTAACCTCCTTACACTCACAAGACTCATTTAGAAGCTGAGTCCAAATAAGTAAATAAAACATTTTTTTTCGGACCCGAGTTTGAATAGATAAAAATTATCGAAGTGACTATTTCTCTGAACGTTCGGGAAAATAAACCTGAACTCTATTTCTCCGAATGGTTTCCGACCTCGAGATTTTGGGGGTTATTTGTGAGATTTAGGCGTCATCCTTTCATTCTGCCATTCTGTGAGGACTGGGAAGAAGCATTTTTTTGCATCAAATTCAATTTCTAGAGCTAGAGATTTTTAAATGTCTGAATATTCAGTTCTTCAGTTGTGGTTGAGACAACGTTCCCAGATTACTGTAACAAATGTATACTTCATTTGAAAATACCTTCAAAAGGTACTGCGAGAAAACAAGACTGCTCGACCTTGGCAGTAACCTATTTTGCATATTTAGTCACCCAGCAAAAACTAATATCCTTCATGTAAAAAAAAAAAATCCCCCCCTCCCCCCCACACACACATGCCCACTCACACACACACACACACACTCACACACACACTCACTCACTCACACACACACAGGCCATTCCATTCGCTTATTATCAACAAATCTCGAGAACGGAAACTGTTCGGAGAAATAGATTTAGAGAAAAATCACCGGTTCCGTCAAAATTCGGACGAAAACAGGCACGTCGACTTTAAAGTTTTATATCTCCTATCTGCCTTGCCCTAGAGACAAACCGAAACCAGCTACAGGAAGCCCTGTGATTGGATGACCCCAGAAATGACCTGTTTCAGCTTGTTCTCATATTTGAGGCCCTTACTGGGTGCAAAAATGACGCCCGATTTATTTACGTGTTCAGTCACATTTTTTTTTGTTTTCTCATGGATTCGGGCAGTATTTTGACATTCGGTCATTTTCAATTATTAGCTCAGTCAGACACCAGTGTAGTAGAGTCAGATACCAGTGTGTAATACAGTCAGATATCAGTGTAGTAGAGTCAGATACCACGTAGTAGTGTGGGTCAGATACATACTCATTAAAATAGCTACAAAAGGTGAAAACCACTTTAGACAAACTATCATTGTGTCCAAGTGTTGATACAAGCATTAAAAATCATGTTATTAACTCATTCGCTACGCCGAGCCGTGGGGGGCGGCACGGCTCAAGTGCCGTCGTCAGTATGTTAAGCCGCCCCCAACGGCTCGAGAACCGACGTTCAATTTTAGCTTGGTCTCTATTCC